TATACAAATCAAGCGCATAAAAAAAATTATATGTTTTATAATGAAATGTATTTAAATTTACTTTTCAGTAAAATATGCTGCAGCAAAAGGTATTTATATTTATTCGAAAATCGGTAGTATGTTTAATGTGAAAATTAGAATATTTCGAAATTTGTATGTGTCTTTTAACGGTATAATGTCAATAATTAGAAAAAATTAAAATTCAAGGCAGTATTTAATCGAAAAATAGTGAAAGTTGATTGAACTAATATTTAACAATAATAGTAATCAGCTGATTCTGGATACTTCAAGAATTTTTTATTAGTGTAAAGTTTGTTAACGTTGGATAAGTATTTAGTGTTCATGTTGAAAAAGCGGCAGAAAAACGCAATGATCGAATCGTGTCTATCGTCAACATAATTATGTTGAATTTCCATGTTTAAATCGAATAGTTTGCCAAATTGTATTAACTAGAAAATTAATTGATCGACATTAACTACACTTGTGATTTACTTATAGAAATTTGATTCATTCACCTCGTTTCGTCCTGTAGTTTTAGGTATGTGGAGTGCTACGTTGGGAGCAATACTTCTTAACAGGTCGAAGAGTTTTTTACCGCCTCCTTTGTAGTTGCTACACATATGTTTTTCGAGACTGTAAACTTCGTGTTTCTTATACGAAGGGCCGCCCCATGGGGAGACGTCACTATGACCCGTGGCTTATATTTTTTTAAGGTTTCTGCAATTTCGAAGAAATCTCCCAGTATAAATGTAATTTTCTCACTGACTCCATAAATCTCAGCATTTCTTTTCACGAATTCAAATTTATTAGCATCGTTATCCACAGCGATTACTTGTTTGTATCTTTTGGCCAATTGGATGACGTTACCACCAGCACCACAAAACGGATCCATAGCGACGTGTAGGCCTGGACATCTTAACGCTATGTGTGTACTCAAGATTNCATCTCAATGCTATGAGTGTACTTAAGATTTCAGGACAAACTGAATAAAATGATTCTAAAAAAAAAAACATTATATAATATAGTAAAAAACTTAAGTTTGTTGAAATAATAATTTTATTACCATTGTCCATCATGATTCCTTCGTCGAATTTAGAAAACAATAAGTACCTTTTATCCCATAAATGTTTTTTAATATCATTAGGCCGAGTTCTAGTTGCGGATTTTTTGTTGTTATTATTTTCCCGACGTAAATTTCCATTCACTTTAGTTTTTTCCAGGCCTTCTGGAGTAAAAAGTTCAATCTTTTTACTTAGCAACGCACTGTTAGTGTTAGATGTTATAATATTTTCGGTTAATTTTTTAGACTGTATTCTATTACATTTGAGTGAATTTTCTAATAAGATGCGGTTTTCTTGATTTGTTGTAAATACTATTTCAAATGGTTGTGTTGAATTATTGTTTTTTGACTGTATTAAGTCTGAGTTAAAAGACTTATCAGTTTTTACAGAAGTCTCTGTAGGAGTGTGAATGGGCTCTTTTTCAATTTCAGTTTTCGTAACAATTTCTAGGTTTAGTTTTTTGACGTGTTNATCTTTTTCAATTTCATTTTTCGTAAAAATTTCTAGGTTTAGTTTTTTGACGTGTTCAATTTCATTATTCATTAATGAAGGTTTGGTATTAGTGTTTGAGGGCTCTTTTTCGGTTTCAATTATCGGAGTTCCCGTAAATTTATCTTCTATGAGCGGTTCTTCAAAAATTGATTTTTTTGTCAAAATAGGTGTGTTCAAATNTTTTTTTGTTAAAATAGGTGTGTCCAAATTAATAGGATGTGTAGTCAAAACTGGGCGGCGATTATTCATAATAGATTCTACTGGTTTAGTTGAAGCAACTTTCTTCTTAAAAAGTTTCAACTCCAAAAAAGTCTGCAGCGACACAACTGCCAATGCAATAAACATAAATTTCTGATTACTTGAAATGGAATTATAAAATATATCACCAACGTCGTTATCACGAAAAACAAATCCGACTCCATATTTTTTTATAAATATAGACACAAAAAACTTAAAAATTGTCAGTTATAATTAGAGAAAAATGTAACAGTTAAAGTGTTTAAAGTATATACGTACTCATTTATCACAAAAAATAACTTAAGCATAAGATCACCAAATGGTGTCGATTTAAACAGCATTTTTTATCCTATTTAAGCAAAAAAATTTGCTTTGTTTACATATTATTTAAGCCAATAAATATAACCAAACATTTTTTCAATTGGCCAACAATTAATACATTTATTTAAAAAGTAAATTATTTCAAATTACTAGTCTGATACGTTTGTCCGGAATAAGTAGCATTGATTTCATAGTTAAGGTCTACAACCAACACCTTATTTTCTAATGAAATAATATAAAAACATGTGGACTCCTTAATTTCTCTTTACATATTATTATGAAATATTTACAATTTTTTTATAACTCCTATGAAATTTAAATGCAGGTGTTTATTATAATTTTTTTTATGTATATTCTTTTAATTATTATAAATAAAAAAAATTCCACGGAATTAAAAATGGAGTAAACAATAATGTAATGAAAAAAAGTTATAACAAATTTTTTTAACATAGATTGTTCAGCGTCTAACTAATAATAGCTGTTTAATTTTTGGTCGAGAAATATCTAATTAAAACTATACATGGCAACATCACCATTTTTTATTTAAAAAAATTGAAAAAAAAAGGGTCAAATGTATTCCTTAATAAAATCACTTTTTTATAATATAAAATTATTTAATACGATAATTTTGTTTGCAAAAAGTAATGATTAGCCCATATTTCAGAACGGTAGGTGGGTGGTACGGTATTTGTAAACATATCGTAATTGTCTTACAGTGGTCGAAATTCGGTGAATCGTATAATTATAGAAAAAACTCTTGTGTTTTTTTNTAACGGTATTTGTCTTACAGTGGTCGAAATTCGGTGAATCGTATAATTATAGAAAAAACTCTTGTGTTTTTTTAGCCGTTTCGTCCGCTT